GCGCTGTCTCTCTCTCTCTCTCTCTCTCTCTCTCTCTCTCTCTCTCTCTCTTCATGTATCGGGAGCAGATTGATTTCCCTTTCCTGTTTTGTTGCAGCCCAGCTCACTCCGGTTTGCTTCACGTTGCCGTTTGTGTGTTCCGTCTTGTCAGACACTGGTTTCAACGTGAGGTGAAATCTTGCGGCTTAGCATTTGGGTGAGGACTCTTTGATGCTTTTGGTACCTATATGATATACATACACATACACACACATCCGATTACACATTAACAATGAACAAAATTTAAATATATACATATTTTAGAAGGTATTATAGTATTACAAAATTAGGTACGGCTGTAGAGTCTAAAGCACAGTTGTCAAAGTCAAGGCCCAGGGGCCAGATCTGGCCCGCCAAGTCATTTTATGTGGCCCAAGAAAGCAAATCAAGCATGTCAAGTTCCACGATGCTGGCTAAAGTCTGAACCAAAATTTCAAATTGTCATATGTAATCCACAATAACAGTCATTATTCTTGACTTTTGATTTTAAAACTAGTTATTCATAAATTTGTTGTGCGCTGTGTATGTAATATGTGGAGGTGATTAAACATTTATATGGTTTTCCAAAATTCATAACAGCCCTCCAAGGCAAACTGTAACTACAATGTGGCCCGCGACAAAAATGAGTTTGACACCCCTGGTCTAAAGAGAACCCATTTAAGAGTTATACTACATGATGATAACAAATATCACTTATTACTGATAATGTAACAAGAGGCTTCAATCTACAAAAGCTAGGTTATTATTTTGGTTGCAGATTTATCGATTGTTGCAGCCATATCTTTCATTGAGGATATTAGTATTTTTTTTTTTGTTTTTTTTTTTTTAATATTAATGAAAATGAGTTCCTGGATTTGGATATCTGTTTGAATGCAACCGAAACTAACGTGAACTTGGTTCACACAGACTTCAATTCTGTTGACTGTGCAAAGCATGCATTATTTTGGTCAAAAAACAAAAGAAGAGAATGGAAGTGTACAAAAAAAAATAAATTGTGATACTAACTTGCTAATAACCATTTGTATCTCCCGGTTCTCCTCGTCTCTCAAATTCCGGAGAACCTGCTCCAAGATAGGAAGCTCCAAGTTCAAATACTGGGCCACCTGGCAGATTTAAATTGGCAGGGGAAAAAAAAAAAAATCATAAAAATGTGTTCTGTAGGAAATCTTGCACATTAGTAAGATGATACTGATGAATTCCAATCATTTCAATCATTGAGTGCCTCAGGGATGCCTGTCACCAGATATTTTGTAATTTTGGAGTATAGTATACTGTCTAGGTGCATTTCTATAGCGTGATGCTCTCACATCATTGCTGACTTCCTCTTCATTCATGTCCATCAAAAATATCTTCATGGTGTCGTCCGAGGGTCCCTGTAGGATGCGCTCCCATAGCGGCTGGTCCTTGTTGCTCATCTTCCTCTTTTCTAGAAAAAAACAACTTGAACTTAAACAAGCCACTGAAGCATTTGATGGTGGGAACTTTTTGAGTTTAGCTGATGACACGACATTGAGATAACAAACCAAGCTTACCGCCACTTTGGTGAACACAGTATAGTGCAAACTCCTGAGGGTCATTCTCTATCTGTGAGGTTAGCATGCAAGGAAAATATAGATACTTTATAAAAAGTCTGTCATATAAAATAATCAAGTCCAAATTGATGACAGTGCAGTCAGTCCATCAAATTACAGTCCAAAGACATTAACAGAACACGTTTTGTTGATGAATATCGATTTCACTACCCGGCTCACCTTGAATTTGTTCAGTAGCTGTTCGATGACTTGGTTTGTGGTCATGCTACTCGTAATGCGGACTTTGGTCGCGGTGCCAAAGCAAGGGGTGAAGATGGATGTCTAGGAAAACAAAGAGATGTTGAGGAGCAATCTCGCCGACCCCGGTTACTAGCAACAAAACAAACCTTACTACAGACGTACCTTATAGTTATAAAAGTGTCCATTGATAGAAAAGCGGTGCTGCCGCTCTCTTTCTCTTTGTGCCGCTGACTTGCCTCGGCGACTCCTCCTCTTGACCAGCGAGGCATCGCTCATGCAGCGGAACAGGTTGGACTCGGACTCCAGCTCGCAGCTCTTCTGCCTCAAAGGACGGAGTGTTGTGGTCTCATAAATGGTGCCTTCAGAATACGCAAAGCATGGAAAATAATCGGAAAATGGGTCGAGGTGTAGCTCGAAATAATCATTTGAAAAGATATGTTGACCCCTTCACTTATTCACTGTTTAAATAGAGTACTCTAGAAGTCCATTTTAAACATGTACTAAAATCAGTATCATAAAATTATAGTCATAGGTTTCATTAAAATTATAATTTAAAAAAAGATTAGGTCCAAAAAATGTTGCTAGAAATCAAAGTGACAAAAACTAGTCAACCTGGTAGAGGATTTTTGCTGACTGTTTCATGTGCCGTGCCAGCTATCTCATCTATCTGGTGCAGGTCGAGAAACTCCCCCCATCGTGACATGCCCCTGCCAAGACACAAGCTTGCAAATTTCATGGACACAATCGCAACAAAGTTGTACTGCGAAGGACGAGCACTTCAGAGTGGAACAAAAGGCCGGTATTCCAAAAGGCTGAAAGTGTCCAAAAAGTGTACAAAACCAACATGGCTCTTGCAACTTTGCTCTATTTATCGGCGAAAAAGAAAATCCAAAATGGAAATCCACCTCCTGTTTCCAGGTGGACTGACTGGGCTGACTGGGTCAAATGAGATCAGGGGAGCAAAAGGAGTCGTCTGTTTCTCATCCTGGATTTTCAGCCGTATGGGTCGTCGGATTCCCCAGCAGATATTTAGGAAGCCTTCTACGACCACTTCCCCGCCATCATGCTGCTTAAGGATCAAACCGACAAACAATAGCATCAGGCATTATTTTAAGGACAAAGATCAAAATGACACCTGATTAAAATGGTCACAGCATTTGATGCACTTTAAAATGCAGTGTCTCCAAAGCGTGGCTTGAGGGCCATTTGTGGCCGACCATCCATTTTTCAGCGGCCTGCAACAGATCCTAAAAATTTGATTTGAGACGTCCACGCAAGACAACTCATATTTGCACCAATGGTTAGTTTGGACGTCCATGCAAGACAACTCATATTTGCACCAATGGTTAGTTTGGAACAGGGGTGCCCAAACTTTTTGGACAGAAGATCGACTTTTCGATCAAACAACCTCCTGCGATCGACCCTTTACCGCGCACACACGTACACACGCACGCCATGATGAGCAACAGCCTGACATGGAGTCATGCGACGCACTTTTGCAGCCTGTTAACTATCATCGCTCACACGTACAATATTAAAGTGCTTCCCTCGGCCCGCTAGATTCCTATTCTTTGCCCGTGCCCTCGGTGAATTGTACACGAAACAAACTCTGAATGAGAATAATGATAACGATAAAAGATACAGCGTAACAGCTCTGATCACTAGCTGCAATTGCAGACTGCTGAGCGCTAACAACTTCCGGTGACGCAGGTCACGCACCACCGTGGGTTATTTTATTTTATTTTTTTAAATACTTTTTGTGAAAATGAGACTGGTGGGATGATTAGGGTGCAGTGTACATTAACACACAAAAAAGCATTTCTAACATGCACAACGACACATAAATGGTTGTTTGTTTTTTTTTTCTCCTCTACACCCCTCGCGATCGACTTGGGACCAGTCCGCGATCTACCGGTCGATCGCGATCGACGTAATGGGCACCCCTGGTTTGGAGTCTTCACTTGAGTGCTTGATTTTGCTGAATTGAACCTGGTATATTAACCCTTTCAGGCACAACTAATGATAACCTGTAACCTGATAAGCTGTCCACTGAAGTAACCGCCGTCCCTGAATGGGTTAATATAAGAATACAGTATACTTATTGTTGTGGTGGCAGTTTGTGGTTGTGTTAAGATACGCGAGGACAACATCTCAGAAGCACCTCAGTGCAATACGGTGCAGTTTTACAAAACATCACTGGCAGGCATAATCAACAAATAAATATTACAAGCAAATAATATTCTACTTTTAGACGAGCAGAGTGTGTAACATGACGATTGCTACCTGGAAGTAACTGAGATGCAGTTGAGTTTGGTCCTTGAGGAAGCAATTGTAGGTGTTGATCAACGAGAGAAACTCTGCTCTAAAATCGGCAGCGATGGATCACAAACATAACAACATCGAGAAATTTAATTCAATCAAACAAGGAGGTGGAAAAACAGATTCGAGTACCATCATAAGAGTACTTTCTCTCAGTGAACCCACCTGGACAGAGTCCTCCCATCTCCTGCCTGGATCAGTGGAAGCAGACCTGCCTCGTTCATCTCTGATAGCATCAACTACTGCACAAAAACACAAAAGCAATCAGATGGAAAGTGTGCAGCGAGCAGGCCAAAACAAAGCCAACCCGAGGTTGGAAAAAAGAAGCAAACACACACACACACACACACACGCACACACACACACACACACACACACACACACAAAAAAAGCAGTGGACGTGTGCTTGTCGTTGCTGCACATGATGCTAAAAACAGATGCAAACGAATGATCGATTCCCACATGCACACACAAAAAATGCATTTCATCTTACGTTTAGTATCCCACCAACTTGACGCTCCTTTCTTCGGTTTTCTTTGTCTGAGGCTCTTTCTTCTCTTTGAGTGTCAACTATTTCTCTCTCTCTCTTTCGCTCTCTCTCTCCCTCTGTAGTTTTTGTGTTATATTTATCTCCTTCTCTCTCGATGCCACAGCCTTCACTCTCATACTCTCTTGGAGAGTTAATAACAGTACAGTACTCCACCCAGTAACCAGTGATGACAGTGTGGACTGTTTATCCTTCAGCCAGAACCACTGAATCGTACTGGTATATGCACCAGTGCTCGCTCTCTGTATCCATTCCTTTATTTTTTTCCTTTCTCCCTTGCCTCAGTGACACGACGTTAGAACATCGCCATTTGCCTCTCCGCAGTGCTGTCTCAGCACGTTTGCTGCTAAGAAACATCCCAAGTATTTAGTAGTTGTCACCGGCAACCCACGACTCCCCCCCTATTTGACCGACTTTTTCACAATGTGCATTTCATGCAAGAGAGAGCAACATTGTTTGTTGAGAGTAAAAGAAGCGTGTCAACATTTTGAAAAAGAAAATGGTTAAAGGAAAATCTTCTAAATGCAGAAATAATTAGTCAGACTTGTGTGATACAATCTTGTCTCATGGGCTAAATTCAATGTTTAAATATGCTGAACTCATTTTGATTGCCTTAGTTTGAGCATGTGGCCTTCATGCCGTTTGACTGTAAAATAAGGCTTACAGAAAATTAAGTCACTGCATGTTGCCCCACTAAGGAACGGTTAAGGACAAAAGGAAAAAAAATGCATCCCTTCATCATTTTGTTACTTGTCATTTTTCCATTTGCAGTCAACTTGTAATAATTATAGGCTGCTGCTGTATGGTGCTGTATAGCAGATTGGAATCGAGTTCCCTGTTGTGTCGGCAGAGGGAGGAAGAGGATCAGGTCGAAATTAGAATGCTCAGATTTTTGGTTGATCCTCTTTTCCACTTTGATTATTGAATGAATACAGAAAGTCGACATGTTCAATTGGATTGCATACATTTAAAGTCCCGCCCCCATGAGCTTGTGTTGATGACGCGAGAGTGAATTTGGACTTTGTCAAGTCTTAGCATGTAGGCTCAGGCCTGGAGCAAATAAATCACACCCATGATGTTCCCACCTACATTGTGTGTGTGTGTGTGGGGGGGGGGGCACAAACATGTTAAAAGTGTGTGTGAAACAAGTGATGAAATGCACGTGAGAGAGTTGAAAACAAACATCATTCTTTACACAAAGCAGTGTTTATGTGTGCCATCACAGGGCGGTAAACATAAAATTGAATCTTTGTGGAATTATTACTGTTTTTAAGAGTGAGTTAGGTAAAACTCATACTAAATAATCTAAATACCTAGCTAATGTTTTTTTTTTTTTTTCCGAACTGGCCATCAAAACGATGTGATCCAATTATGTTGGCTGCAATATTTTATACCATTAAATAAAATGTGTTGTTTGCAAAGCTGTAAAGAAAGAAAGAAGGTGAGTTCCATAGTGACACACCCAGTTTCTTTTTACCTCTTTCCTCTCTACATGGAATTCCCCTCTCATCTTTCTCTTACAAGTGTCTAGTCATAGTTTTCGCTCTTCGTAAGTTCAAAAAAATAAAAAGGTTATTAAACTGGACATAAATGACTGAATGACCAACTTTCAACTTTCCAAATCCTTGATGGTATCACCTGTTTTATTCAAAAGTAGATTAGATGCTAAACCGAAATAAAGAAATAGATGTACTGTATGCCTGTATGTAAACTGAAAGGTTGCTGGAACAATTTTTAAGTCAACTAAGGTACAAAACGCGTATGATATAAAGATCAGTCCTACCTGACAGGCAATTAAATTTCCCAATGTTTAAATATGACTTTCTTCATGTTTGACCTATTCTACTTTGAGTTCGTGCGTGTGTTGAGAGGTCCAGAGTGCAGCATGAGGATCTCAGGTATCAAAATGCAACAACTGGTTAATAATTGCCGGAGGTAGGGAAGAAAGGTAGGGCATGACTGACACCAAACCCGACTTGCCTTTTCTTTTGAAAGTGGGCTGTGCTGTACTACGTGTGCGCCTGTGTTGTTGTACATGATATCCAAACACAAGTGCAGGTCGATAACACTTTTCAAATACTGCTCCTCTTTTATATTGCGTCAGAATTTATACCTTGCACGGGAATTTTGCGCCGTATTCTACAATGTATTATTCCATGCTTCTTTTATTACTTTGTAAAAACTATCGATTCATGTGTTACTTGCAATGTTTTTTTTTTTAAGACAATGACGTTTCGCCTGTATGTGTTATGTACGTGTGCTTTTGGCATTTAAAGCCGACTTCCACCTCACCACCACTCTGAACAGGTTTATCAAAACACAAATTGGATGGGTGAGCGGTTCAATAAGTGGATAGAAATTTAAATGTCACTTCTATAGTTTCCGCACACGTTGACAGCATTGTCAATTTTAGCGCTATAGCACCATCCAGTGGTTGAACACTGTTAAAGCATGTTGTGACCGAGAGGGCATTGTGAGGACCTCTGTTAGCTCAATAGCCTACAACGCCATGCAATACCTCATGTTGTTCGACGACAGGCCCACAAATAAACACGATATAAATCCCGTACAGTAGATTATCAGATAAAAATGCCTGACTCAAAACTCCACTTGAATGACAAGAGCCGTATCTCAGCACAGTACCAAAATAGTCAGACTAACCTCTCAATGGTACAAACAATAGTTGACTACATCCGAAGTAGGAAAGATGAAAAGCCAATGAAGTGCCATTCCTTTCCTAAAATAAATCAGAGCATCAGGTCTGCAGGCAACAGGTGGACGCAAAGACCTCCTGCACCATATATGCAACGTGTCACATCGTAAATATGTGTATGCTTTCCAGTATGTTCTTTTGAAGAATATATATACAGACGTTCTGTACGACATTCAACAAAAGTGAAGTATAACTTGTTTAGATGTGCATTAACACATTTCGTGTTACATATCATATGAAATACATCCGTCCCATTGCCCTAAACATGCACTTTTTATTGTCTTTACAACTGTAAAGTTTAGTCAGCATTGTGTGGTTTGTCTGGTCTTCTTTTCATGTCCTGGTATAGTATGACTCGATGACTATTCATGACTCAAGCTGCTAAACCGTGGAGTGGTTCTGCAACACCGGAGCCTTTGGAGCTTTGAGTGTGGCTCCAAACTCTGTTGCGACCGCATTGTGAGGATAGCTCGCAGCTGCCGCCGTCACTCACAATGTTAACACACATTGAGGGAACTGGTCAGCGTTAAGCATGGCTGCCTGACTACTATGCCGATACACACTGACGAAACAAGAAGATATGGGAATATAAACATTTAGAATACACAAAACTGGGCCAAGGTGGCTTATTTCCAAGCCAGGATGAAGACTATGAGACTCATTTCAGTCTTGAAGATCCTCTTTCTTCTGGTTTTGGTCAGCTTGAGTAATGGTATCCAGAGAGGTAAGCGGAGCCTACATATGCTGAAAGTTTTTCCAAGTGACTTTTGAAGCCAATGTCAGTTAACATTGCGAAGCTCTACCCCGTTACATTTCTTTCCTTTGCGATGCTGGAATGATCACAGCAAAATGGAGACGTGAAAGGAAATATCGTGAGATGCGCCTTGTTCCCTGGCTTGCTAAATGCTACGAATGCGTGTAAACGACAGGATGTCACCCTGAGATCACCTGGTGATCACCACATCCTGCAAGGGCAAGAGGGGAAGATGTCCAATCCAATGATTTCCATGGTCAAGAATATTTACCACATACTTTAGAGAACAGTTGCTCACTCATATAGCTTTTTTTTTTTTTAATCACCAAATATAATTATTTGCCAGTGACTCAAAGACGGAAGTATTAAGCAAAACAACTTTCACAGAGTGCCACAGAATCATTGGATTGCAAAATTGAATGTGAGTAATTTTTAGGATCAAAACCGCTCGTGTGCCTTAATCAATGCATTACCCAAAAAATAAATGAATAAATAAATAAAAATGGAACTTCCAACAGAAAAACAAGCCTTCCATCTTTCTGACTGAACAAGTGCCATGGATAAAATCAAAGTTGACTGTTCCTAATGGAGACTCAAGCCAGATGCAAGTGTGTTTGTGTGTCATTTTTATTCCCGTCGCTGTTTGAACACGGAAACGCCGCTTCTGCTTTGCATTGGAAATAAGCGTGAAATATGTGAATTCATCCTTCTACTTGATCTCCAAAGAAATAATAATCTGCAAAGAGATTTAATTACGCATTGGAAAGTCCTCTTACAGTCAATATGAGATATTATGCTTGTTTGGAAGATTGTTGTGATTTTTATTTTCTGTGTTTAGTTAGAAGCCAGTTTGTTTTGCTCTACTTTGCTGGCTCTTTTTACAAGCTCTAATTCAAAAGGAGTGTGAGCAAACATTGTTTCCATTGTCGTTTCTTTGAATCTGTACTTTCTGACTCAATTGTGTTGTTTTGCGGGATTTTTAGAACTCAACCAGCAGGTACTCAAAACATCTGATTGTCTGCTACAAAATAACAAATCCCCTGCGTATTGCATGACAGCGTCAAAGGCCAATACAACGGCTGATGTGGCACGAAAATAAAACGGAAAAAAAAAAAATCCCTCGGGATGTATTAGAAATTACCACAAAGACCAAAGGAAACGGAAGTTCAAGGCTATTAATGTGCTCTATAAACAAGCACCAGCGTTTATTTATGTATTTTCGACCAATATTTGTTACTTTCTATGAAGGATGCATTGCTTTTTTTTTTTTTTTTTTTTTGATTTGATTTTTTATGCAATCTGTCCGGGGAGTGAAGCCCACTATAATAAAAGGTGACTCACCCAATGCGAAAATGCAACTTTCGGCATATTTTGCACTGTTGCACAAAAAGTTAATATCAACATGTAAACACAGACTCTGTTGTACTAAGGTTATTATTGTTATTATTTCAGGCAGTATGCATTTCAAACTGCGACGTAAACGCTAACAATGAGTATATGTCTCACTTTGGTTTGACCTGGATGAAGGCTATATTGCGTTGAAAATTTCACGTCAGCGTTTCAATGGCAGTCGCTCCCTTTCAGCAGTATTGACCAACAGTTTATCCCAAACAAAATAAATCTCACCCCTTCCTATTTAGTCCTCATTTTTTAACATTCTCGTTTCTTTTCATAAATTCTTCTCTTCACGTTCCCTTCTTCTCATGAGTTCGTACAAAGTTTAAAAATGCAAACCTGATGTCTCCGATCAGATAGACCTGGATGCGATTTCATCCCCAAGCTCCTACCACTGTCCTTGTTTGTCTTGGTGTCCTTCGCAATATATTCCCCAGACAAGAAATAAATATCTGAAAGCCGATCCCGTGTAACTTTCTCTTTTTCTCTCGCCTGACAAGTCATTCTCACTTCCTATTATGAATGAGGTGTTTGACAATGTGTCAGCGAAATCACTCTCGATGACTTCATCCTGTCTGAAATCTCAACAAAATAACGTTGCATAAAATATGCCACGGGAAAACAGATTCCCAACGTGCTTGATTTTACTGCGGTCGCATAAGCTGCAGACTCAGAAATGGAATCGAATGTGAATTTACTTCAGCGGTTCTCTTTCTAGCACCTCGTATACTTACCTTATTGGAGACGGTGGATGTACTACTGGATCACAACGCAACATTCATCTGTGAGGTAGAATCGCGACCTTCAGCTGACATCACATGGACCAAGAACAACCAGCCAATAATGTAAGTTTGACTTTTTTGTTTGGCGACAGCACTCTATTTTTTGATGGGGGGGGGGGGGGGGGTTGTTTGTTTTGTAGTCCAGCATCACTCGAAGAAATAATTCAAGTGACTCATCGATTCAAACCAAAACCAGTTCTCTGTTGACGAATGTGCATCCGTCATCGCCTTTCTGTAAAATTACGCCTGACACGGAGAAATGCTTTCATGCACATGTGGCTGTTGGTTTCCCGTGGTGTGTCATTGCAAAAGTTTGACAGGCATCTCATGGGATTCAACAAGGTTTGGAATCATCAAAGGAAATGCTGGCAAGGGCGTAGGAGTGCTCAACCAATCGAATAATTCAGAATCCCATGCGTTTCAAGTTATTTCCACCGATTGAAGAAATTGTTGTGATGGGGCGTTGCCAATGTTGTAATTGAATGTTTGTTGTCCTTGTCTGTCCTATTAGGTACTATGACTCCAGGTATCTTACTCGCGAACAGGGACAAATGCTTCTTATCCCTCATGCAAGAGAGAATGACAACGGAGAGTACTGCTGCCTCGCCACTAACGGAATTGGAGAGCCAGCCAAGAGCTGCGGAGCGCTCCAGTTAAAAATGAGTACGTCCGCTTCATTTTAAAAACTACCCCAAACACTTTTGATCGTAGCCGTTCAAGCTATCGATGATGGCAGAACCTTTGTAAAGGCCCTGAAATGAATGTTGTTGTCCTTTTTTTGAATCAGAGCCACAAATCAAGCGCCATCCAACAAATGTGACCCTTTTGGTTGAGTCCAAAGCAGTTTTGCCATGCGTTGCCCTTGGTAACCCAAAACCAGACATGTACTGGCTTAAAGATGATGAGCTCATTCAGGTAAAGGTGAATGTGCCCTATTTTTGTCTTTGAAATGTAGTCAGTCCAACACAGTGTCAACCTCTCTCAGGTCAGTGAGCGCGTCAATATTCTTGACTACGGTGCACTGAAGTTCAACTATATTCAGAAGGAAGACGCGGGGCAGTATCGATGTGTGGCAAGAAACAGCTTCGGTTCGGCGTTTTCCAAGCTTGCCACCATTGAAGTGCAAGGTAAGTATTCAACCTTGGTTTTATGACCTATAGATCAAGACTAAATAGACTCATGTACTTTCATTCAGCCCTAAATATAACACAAACTACCATTGGTCAAGTTGTGACAAACTGTCAACCTCATGGAAACGTATCAGATCAGCTTCATACTTTTTTTGCCACACACACATTTAAATATACATACGTGTGTGTGTGTGTGTGTGTGTGTGTGTGTGTGTGTGTGTGCGTGTTTGTGTGTTTGTGTGTGTGTGTGTGTGTGTGTGTGTGTGTGCTTTTAAGTAGATTTTTCTGTGAGGCAGGCGTGCTCCCGAGTAAACACATTTAAATTATTTTATTTAAGGTCGTTATCAACAAATATGGATGGACTGTGTTGTGTTGTGTTTGACTGATTATTGTTATAACTCTGCCATTGGTAAATTTATTGGAAAATATTATGTAATGCTCATCCTGGCTCCACCCTGAGCAAATGACACGTGGTGCTGTCAAAGAGAAGACATCGCTTATTCCTTGACTGGTGTAGCCAAGTTTTCAACAATGCCAAAAAAATGAGGCAGTTACAGCCAAGTGTCTCTTAACCATTTCCATATATTGAAGAAATAACCGTGAACACATGGAGACCGCTTTTATACATCAATTTTTGAAATAATCTTTCTGTGTGTGGTCTCTCTGTGACATTTTTAGCTCCAGCACGAATCCTGAAAGTTCCCAAGGAGAAGAGAGTAGCATATGGCAGCCAAATATCTCTGGAGTGTAATGCCACAGGAAATCCGATCCCCACCATCACCTGGTTAGAAAACGGGAATACGGTGAGTGGACTGCACGGAGTGCCAGACGCATGCAGTAAAATGCCTGCTGGTTTGAGCATATTTTACAATTTGAAGACATTGGCACATGTTGGTCACGGCTTGTTTTTGAATAGAAGCTCAATGATTTGAAATTGAACTTTGAACTTGTTAATGGCAATTTCATTGTCGTAAAGTAGTTCACAAAGTCATGCCAAGTAAATGTGCCCCGGCGAGGACTAGTTTGCCCTGGCTTTTTTTATGGAATACAAATGTGGTCGAGCATTCGTAGCCAATAACAATAATGGACCTTGGCCTCGGTTAAAAGTTGAGTCTTTCTTGAAGTGGGATCAAAGATTTTGCAAAGCTGTTTTTGTTTGGACATTGAACAACTTGGATGAGGCGTTTTGTTCACAATGACTCGCCAAAAGGATATCCACAGTTTTCAAAGAAAATACTCTGTGTTGATGTATCAGTACATCTACTTACGTCTGATAGTCCCACTGGGATATACACGACACGCATCCGTACAACAGACCCCGTAAGTACACTTGCACGATACATTACAAGTCAGTGTCAGCATTTACAAAGCTAATAATGCTCGGATTTGACTGGCACTCTCTGGGAGGTATTTATATTGGATGCAGATGCACTTAATTGCTGGTTGATGTCCGCACGGCTGCAGTCACGACAATTCAAAATAACTGAATCGTATGTAATGACTAGGTGAGCTGGATTCTGAACTGATTTATGCCCAACTCACCCCAAAAAAACCCAAACAAAAAACAATGCTTCGGTATGTTTTCAATTGGTAGTAAAACACTCAATAATTGTAACAATTCTTGGGATTTTTGTTGTGGTTCTGGGGTCGTAGTTCACCCGTGATTTGAAGAGACTCTGTACTGAATGCTTTGACCCGATTCATTGTTCACTGTCAATCGTATTGTAATTCAAGCATAGTTGAAGTTGACTATGCAACTAAACATGATGGAGCCAGTAAGGCAAAAAGCATGAACCTTATATAATATTCTGGCAGGCTTGGTGCTTGTTAAAAAAAAAAAAAAAAAAATGCCAGTAATGCTTGTGAATATGGCTTGCGTGTGTGTCTGCATATGTGTGTGTGAAAATGTTTCCTGGCAGCCTGTTGATTTAATTTATTTCAGCAACGCTGGCTAAAGATGATCCAAAAAACAGGGCCACGGATCACAAAAACTACAGGCATCGCTCAGTATAAAAGACACGCATTTGGTGTCACTACAAACGTGGTGTGAATTCTTGTACAATTAAAAAAAAAAAAAAAAA